GTGCCTTCCCCCTTCGCCCCTTCCCTGGCTCCCTGGGCAATGGGAGACTCTCACTTGGAAGCTGGTTGGTCCTTTGGTAGCTTAGGCATCAGACTAGGATTTAAGGAATACCTTTGAATGTGCTGCTATAGTCTGGGATGCATCTCCACCTTCCCAGGGCAGGGATCTCGGATCACACTCAGGAGGGGGGGCTGTGTTTTGTGTATCCACGTGGATCCGAGCTGTGTCCTGAGAGGGTGGAACACTTGCTGCGCACTTGAGTTGGAAAAGCAATTACTGCGTTTTTTTTGTATTGTTGTTGTTGGTCCTGTTAGTTTTTTATAAAAAGTGTTTTTAAAAAAAATGCTGCTGCTTTTCTATAAGAGAACCATTACAGAGTGGAATTGTATTAACCAGGGCAAGCCAGAGACTCTGCAGGGATGGGAGGCAGACGCTGCTGCCTGGGGACCTCTGGACATGTGGCTCCGTGGCTGTTGTCCTCCCATGGGAGATGTGGAAAAGGAGGTAGAAATCTTCCCTTTTGGATGCCACTGGATACAAAAATCAGGTGGAAAAAGGTGGGGGCTGCTGCTCCTCCCTGAGCCTGCCTTGTCCAGAAGGGCCCCGGAGCTGCTGCCTCCTGCCAGCAGGAGTGCTGGGACAGAGCCTGGCTGTGCAAAAGGAAATGTTTTTTTATATATAAATGAATTTTAATTTAAGAATAAACTGGTTTGGTGTTCACCCCGCTGCTGGGAAAGCCAGAGAACCCTGTGATGTTGCAATAAAGTATTTTAAAGAAGACTGAGAGGCTCGAGGGTTTCCCTGTGTGGTTGCCAGGGCAGAGCTCAGATCCCCTTTCCCTTCATGGATCCCTCGGGGGGCTCCAGCCTTGTGTTTCCCAGGATGGAATGGGGAGAGGGCAGGCAGGGCAGCCCCAGCCCCACTGAGAGGTTCCCAGGTAAGTGCAGCCTCACGGGACACGGGGGGAAGGTCCCCCCTGGGTTTTCCAGTGAAGGTGGCACATGGGCAGGTGAGGACAGTGGTCCCTTGGCTTCGTAGCCTTGCCAAGAGGAGGTAACAAAACCCTGGGAATGTGGGGGGGAAATCCCTGGGCAGGGAGGGGGCCAGCAATCCAGAGGCTGGTGGGGACAGGGGATGGGTCAGGTGGGGACAGACAGTCCAGGACCACACAGGGATGTGGCAGAGGGGCACAACCAGCCCTGACTGACCAACATGGCTCTGGTTTTATTTTCCAGTCCAGGAACAAGCCAAACTCTCTCAGTGCTGGTGGCACCAGGACCCTGGGTGGGACAGGGGCTGCCTTGTCCTGTGAGGAGCAGCACAGGGAGCTCAGTCCAGCCCTGTGGGCACAGTCCATCCCCAGTGACCGCTCGGGGCAGTAGGATCCAGGACGATGGCTCCCAGCTGCATCCCGGGAGCAGGTCAGGCCGCAGGTTCTCCCTGGCCCTGCTCACTCCATGGCCAGGGGCTCCTGCCCCTCCACGTCCCGCGTCTTGGAGTTCATGAGCTCCCTGCGGATCTCGGGCGAGATCTGGGGGTGGCTGTGGAACTTGAGCAGCTCCAGCAGGGCCTCCTTCTGCTCCGAGGACAGGTCCTCCTTGTAGCGCTGGGCGAAGGCCAGGAAGCTCTGGTGCCACAGCACGGGCAGCACCCGCTGGTCCGTGCGGAAGGCCAGGAAGTGGAACACGAGGGCGTCGACCACGCGGAAGGGCAGCGCGTACTTCTTGTCGATGAGCAGGCGCAGGAAGATGCTGTTGGCACCGCTGTACTGCATCTCTGCCAGCTTGAGCATGGCTGCACTGAGGGCACAGGGAGAGGGGGTCAGCGGGGCTGGGGGCACGGGGATGGAGGAGGGAGCACCGAGGTTGGGGGGTGGGCCCAGGCAGGAGCCACAGGGACCAAGGAGAGGGAGCCCGACTCTAAACCCTGGAGACAGCTGAGTGACCTCCCACCACCTCCGAGGGGCTGCAGAGGCTGAGGGATAGATCCAAGGCGCTTCCCAGGGTGCCTGAAGGAGCAGCTTTGCCCCACCCACCCCCCAGCCCCTCACCTGGAGTGCAGGACGGGGATGGAGCACTTGGTGAGGATGCTGCCGATGATGATGGCCTCCCGCAGCGTGCACGTGCCCGATTCACACAGGGGCAGGAGGATCCCTGCGGAAGGGAGAGTCAGGCAAACCCCACCAGGTCCCCAGACAAGCCCCAGATCAGCCCCTGCAGGAGCCCCTACCCTTGAACCAGGCTGCTGGCTTGAACAGGGCCTTCTTCAGAGCCATGTACAGGTGGAAGTTGAGCCGCTTGTACTCGGCGATGTCGTCCCGGACCCGCGGCAGCAGCACCAGGTTGTAGAACCTCTGGGCCATCCTCTCCTTCAGGTTGGACGAAAATATCCTGGGAACACCAAAGCACAGAGGGAGAGGTGAGGAAAGGGGGCCAAACAGGGGAAGGGTGGTGTTCTGTAAATCTGATCCCAGCTATGGAAAGGGAAAGCAGAATGAGTCAGAGGCTCCCTGACCTGGTGGCCTGGTACATGGCAGCAGCTGTCCACGCCTCTGGCTCGGTGATGTAGAGGATCTGCTCCCAGTTGGACAAGGCAGGAATGATTTTAAATGCCTTGGGGAGCTTCCCACTCCTGTATTTGGACAGCACCTTCAAAGACACGGATACAGGCCATGGCTGTGGGCACTGACAGCTGGGCTGTGAAGTTGTCCCCTCCCTCAGCACCTCAGGGGGGTGGCTGTGGGTTCAGCCACTCTGGCCTCACCTCCCTGACCCCCTTGTAGACCTCCAGGACACGGGGATCCAGCTGGGGCATGGGGCAGCCCGAGAGCTCCGACAGCACCGTCTCTACCTCCGTCTTCTTCTCCGTGAGCTTCTCCATGATGATGTCAGCCAGGGTGCGCCTGGGGCAGGCACGAGATGGGGTGAGTGTGGGGCCAGGAGGGGCTGACAGGGGATGGGGTGAGTCGGGGGCTGGCAGAGGGCGAGGCAGGGGCCATTTGGGATGGGATGAGGGTGAGCTGGGGTCTCACATGGGACAGGGGGGGAGTCGGGGGCTGTGTGGGACTGACAGGGGATAGGGTGAGCAGGGGGCTGGGGGGTCCTGACAGGGGACAGGGTGAATTGGTGGCTGACACGGGGCACGAGTGAGCTGGGGGGCCGCGCAGGGAAGCAGCCCCTGCCCCGGCGGTTCCTCACCTCAGCGGCGGGTTCTTGTTCATGAACATCTCGATGGCCTTCTCGTCCTCGGGGTCCACCTCCACCTCCCCGCCGTACTCCCCGCCCCGTCCCGCCGCCGCCGCCGCCTTCTCCAGCGAGGGCCACTCCTCATCGTCCTCCGAGTCCGAGCCGGGCCCTGCGGGGAGCGTGGGGGGCTGAGCCGGGGCCGCGCACCCTCGGGGGTTCCAGGGGCTCCCGGGGGGTTCGGGGGTCTCACCCAAGGCCGCGCTGCGCTGCCGGGGGGCTGCGGGTGCCCCGGGGCCGTGCTCGGCCTCCAGCTCCTCCTGCTGCCGCCGCGCCTGCTCCAGGATGCGCCGGGACAGCCGCGCGTCCACGAACTCGTCCCCGCCATCCTCCTCCTGCTCCTCCCGCTTCGCCCGCGCCCGGGGCCGCGGGGCCGCGTCCTGCAGGATCTGCTCGGCCAAGGGCAGCGCCGGGGCAGGGCCCGAGCCCCGCGCCCGCCGGGCCTTGGGCATCGCTGGGGGCCGGGAAGGGACACCGGGACCGCGGGAAGGAGAACGGACACGTGGGGTCTCGCCCCGCCCGTTCCGGGGTGGCCCCTTCCCGCTGCCCGCTCGCCCCGCCCGTTCCGTTCCGGCGGCTCCGGCACCATGGGGGTCACCTGGTGAGGGCGGGGGGCTCGGGGGGGGATGGGGCAGCCACGGCGGGGGCTCCCGGGGGAGGTGGGACCGGCACCGGTGAGGGGCTCCCGGCAGGACGGGTGGGGGGTGCCGGCGGTGGGAGGGCAGTGCCCGGGATGACCCCCCAGCCCTGTGCCCGCAGCGTGTCGCAGGTGCCGGTGGCCGAGGGTAAGAGCGTGCAGCAGACGGTGGAGCTGCTGGCGAGGCGGCTGGAGGCGCTGGGCGCGGACAAGCAGGGCACGTTCGGCGTGGACTGCGAGACCTACCACACTGCCGGGGCCATCGGCACCCAGGGTGAGCACCCCTTCCTTGCTTCTCCTTCCTTTCCTTCTGTTCCCCTCTTTTTTCCCCCCCCTTTCCGCCCCATTTTTCCACACCTTTTCCCCTCCTTCCCCCTTTTGCCTTTTTCCCCCATTTCCCTTTCCCTCTTCCCCTTCTCCTTCCCTTCCTTTTCCTCTTTTCTCCTTACCTTCCTTCTCCCTCCCTGCCCTCCCTGGAGGTGTTTACGAGATGCTGTTGCTGGGTGATCTGTTCTCTGGGTGATGTGGCTCAAGGCTTTAGGGGCTACAGTAGCAGTGCCTGGCTGATGGTTGGATTTGGTGGGCAGCAGAGAATTTATTTTCCCCTGTAAACCTACAGAATGAAACCCCATCTGTTCCCTGAGTGGCTGGATAACATAACACCCGTGTGAGGATGCAGAATTAGAGCGCCAAGGGGGACCAGGTGCTGCTTTCAGGCAGGTATAAGCGCAGGAGTGCTGGTTTCCCAGCCCGGATCCCCTCGCTGTCGTTCCAGGGCAGACAGGGAAGCTGATGTACGTGATGCACAACTCCGAGTACCCCCTGAGCTGCTTCGCCCTCTTCGAGAACGGGCCCTGCCTCGTGGCCGACGCCAACTTTGACACCCTCATGGTGAAGCTCAAGGGCTTCTTCCAGAACGCCAAGGCCAACAAGATCGAGAGCCGCGGCACCCGCTACCAGTACTGCGACTTCCTGGTGAAACTGGGCACCGTCACCATGGGGCCCAGCGCCAGGGGCATATCCGTGGAGGTGAGGGGCCTCTGGGAAGAGTGGGCAGCACAG